TCTAAATGACAGTGGTGTTTGTAGGTGTTCATACAGAAAAATAAAGCTAATGTTAATGTGTCCGCAGTATTTTTGTAACAATAGAAAATGTGTGTATTTTCTCACGGTGAATCGTTGGGATCAGAGAGTGTTTCCCAGCATCCACGTCTGGCCTTGATAAGTCACTCTGAGTGTGAGTAAAACCCAGATGACAATTTTTAGAGTTAATAATTACCTGGATTTCCATCCATTGCTCAACAAGTCCCAATAAAAATGAAGCTGGCAGCCTGCAGAACACATCTGAGGAATCAAAACTCCAGTGGAACAATTTACCAGGTGGGATATGATTAAGTGTTTTTCATATGTGCATGATTGAATTTTTCTCACATTCTTCCACCGTTGCTTTATTCACACAGAGATCAGTGTACAGACACGTGAGAACATGAAGACTGTGATTCTTGCTCTTGTGGTGTTGCTGGTTGTCAGCCAGGGTGAGTTCATGTACAGGAAACACTACAAATCTGCAGCTGATTAATAACACCTGGAAATTAATATCATGTTTCCAGTGTGTCTGTTCTGAGCAGACAGTGGCTGACTTTTTTGCGGAATTTGTCTTTTTCCAGGTGAAGCCTTGGAGTGTTGGTGTGGAGGTAAACAGCCATGTTCAGGCCGCACTGAGGTCTGTCGCAGTTCAACCGAAGTTTGTGCCAGTGTCGTCTTTCATCAATTCCGTAAGTAGCAACAGTCCAGGGCCCCATTTGAGGGAACATTTATTTTCTGTTTGGAGAAATCAGGCTGATGTTGTTTGAGTCCAGAGCAGGCTGTTTGGTTAGATTCAGATTCAGTTTCAGTTTCAGATTCAGAATACTTTATTAGTCCCAAAAGGGCAATTGGAGTTGTTCCTTCAGGGTGCTCAGCTAAAAAGCTCTTAGGAAAAATCTATTACCTGAACCAGTTCCACATCAATACTTTACTGAAAACTTGTAGAAAGTATTTGAGAATAAATCCTGTCTTTTTCCATGTTTCCACAGCCAGCAACAACTTCCATGGTTGCTATGAGGAATATGACTGCAGGACGCTGAATAGTCCTGGTTATATATCTTGCACATACTGCAGGACTGACCTGTGCTAGTGATGGATGGACGTCATGCAACACATCTGCCAGTAATAATAATAATCTACCCCATGTGTTGGGTACTTTTGCATGATTATAATAAAGATCAATCCCTTGCAAACTTTTGTCCTTTTTCACTGTTTATATATGTTTTTTTCTAATGGTTTTCCAAAAGAATATGAATCTAGCTGCTGTGTGTTGTTACTGACAATTATTGTGACATATAGAGAACTTTTATTCTGGTTGAAAACAGGCTGGAGATACTTCAGCTGGTAAAAGACAGGTTTTAGTAACAGCGATATTCAAATTCCCACAGTCACAGTTGTTGTATCAATATTTTTAATTGCCTTTTTTGGGTGTTTTCCAACAAAAATTACGATAACTAATACATTTTTCTCATGTACAAATCACCTGTCTTGTCCCATCTGTTTTTAGTCTTTATAACTCCTTATAAATGGTTAAAATGGCATCATTATAAAGCTCAAACTGACCAAATCTCCCATCACAACCTGCTGTTTAGTGTTTGCCATGTCTTGTTTTTGAGAGGAAAAAACAAGTATGGTTTATTTGTTCAGTCGAACATCTCATACAGTGTCTCAGTGACTTTACAAGCCAATAACAACAGTTCTTAATACATCACAAAAAGCTAAAGACATTAGGAAAGAATTTTATTCACCTTACAGCGCTCTGAATGGTAATGTGCCAAATTTCACGTGCTGGGAAATTATTTTTGGGTATAAGTTGGTCACACTGGGTTTTGCAGCAGCCACGTCTGGCCTTGATATGTCACTCTGAGTGTGAGAAAACCCAGATGACAGTTTTAGAGTTAATGATACACTGAATTTGAATCGATTGCACAACAAGTTCCAATAAAAATGAAGCTGGCGACCTGCAGAGCACATCTGAGGAATCAAAACTCCAGTGGGACAATTCACCAGGTGGGATGTCTTTAAGTTTCTTCTGTACATGCATTATCAAAGTGTGTGAGTCACAGCTTAATGTTGCATTTGATTGTTCACACTTTTCCACCTTTGCTTTATTCTCACAGAGATCAGTGAACAGACACGTGAGGACATGAAGACTGTGATTCTTGCTCTTGTGGTGTTGCTGGTTGTCAGCCAGGGTGAGTTCATGTACAGGAAACAAAACAAACCTTCAAACATCAAAAATCTGCAGCTGATTAATAATATCTGTAAATTAATTTCCAGGTGAAGCCTTGGAGTGTTGGTGTGGAGGTATAAGGCAATGCTCAGGCCGTACAGAGACCTGCCGTGGCTCAGACGACGTCTGTGCCAGTGTCCACTTTCTTGGTGGACACCGTAAGTATAGACCATTCCTACAGTGTGCTGTTAAGCTACAAAAAACAATAAGGAAAAAAACAGTTTAGACTCACCCACTTTCAGTGAAAACTTGTGTCTTTTTTCATATTTTCTCAGCTAGCAACAACTTCCATGGTTGCTATAAGGAAAGTACTTGCAGGCAGCTGAACCGTCCTGGTGTAGCATACTGCGGATGCTGCAAGACCGACCGGTGCCAGGCAGTGATGTTTGAATGTAAATGAATGACTGAATGTCATGCAGCACATCTTTCAGTGACTAAATAATCTGAATTATGTGTTGTGTATTTTTGCATATCACAATAAAAGTCAATCAGTTGCAACAAATTTTGTACATTTTCATTTTGTATATATCAGTTTTTCTAAAGTTTACTAATGAATGAATCTAGTTATTGATGTGATGTTACTAACAATTATTTTTATATAGAGAAAACTTCAATTTTGGAATCAAACACAAGTCAGGTTTAAGTAACAGTGACAGTCACAACTTAGAATTAAAGGCACAAAACAAGTATATTCATATTTTTAATTGCCTTTATTTAATGTTTTTCAAGTTACTTTTCAAAATGTAGACCTTTTCCATGTTGTTTTCACAGACAAATCACCTATAATTTAAGAAGTGTCCAGCCACCCTCCCAAAAAAACAAACATTAATGGTGTTTCTCAAAGTCAAGGATCCTTCCTAGGAAGGATGGGTCTTCCCAAGGAAGGATCCTACAGAGGTAAGGCAAGAGTCCTTCCCAGCATTTGGTGAACACACATTGGAACAGGCTAACAAGTGTCCCCAGTTGTGCCTCATTAACTCTCAGCAGACTGAGGGGGTTTCAGATTACTGTGATAATTTTGGCAGTCTCCGCCGGCGCAGATTTCATTGAGGAGGCCTTGTGCGCAAAGAACTGTGGGTACTTTATACCTGCTGAGGGTACACACATGCATCCTTGAAATGTCTCTGAAGGTAGGACTCTGTCCTTGGTAGAATTTCAGGGATTCTTGACACTGGAACAGTCCTTAGGCGGGATTCGATGACGTAGAATCCTTGAAATTCAGCCATTTCCTTGACTACACCCTATAGGTCCTGCATATCCCTGATACACCCACACACGTGCTTCTAATTCTTTGGACGTGAACAGACTCTCCCTGACTCTCCTGTTAGCTCTACTGCACCCATTCAGGCGAGACAAATGACACCTTTATCCTCCTTTTTTATGCTTTTGGAGACCTCCATCTGCAAATAGTTGAGCTTCTTTCAGTTTGTCACTGATAAATCTCAGTACTGCTGATCACACTTTGCTGAGGTTTCTCTTTCTCTATCACATTGCACCACCTTGTGGTGGATGAGATGCTGACATGAGTGTTAGAAAAAGAAACCCATAGTGTGTATTTCATTATGTTGTTTCAATAGATCTCACTTTATCATTTAGTGATAATGACAATCCAGGGAAAGGGATTTCCATTTATTTAAGTATTTTTAAACTAACAGATCTCAGAAATTGACATTTATTTCAAACTAAATCTTTCTCGAATAAACAAGAAATAATCAGAGCTTGAAATACAGTGACCCCCCAGAACATTAAAACAACTGGCTAAGTAGTAAATAACATTGATCATTTCTTATAATGCAATGTTCTACTGGGAAACCTCAGATCCTAACATTCATGTGGATGTCACCTGACACCAGTGGCGTAATTTACGGTCTTTACCACAGGCCCCAGTGCACGCTATTGTAACAGGCCCTAGTGCATGTTGGTTACTAGTTATAAGGTGCACACACACCACTAGAAGCTCAAGGCAGTGGCAATGCTCAGTTGGTACTAAGGGGCCCAAAGTGTGCCAAGAAAATATCCCCCACACCATTACACCACCACCACCAGCCTGAACCGTTGATACAAGGCAGGATGGATCCATGCTTTCATGTTGTTTACACCAAATTCTGACCCTGCCATCTGAATGTGGCAGCAGAAATCCAGACTCATCAGACCAGGCAATGTTTTCCAATCTATTGTCCAGTTTTGGTGAGTCTGTGTGAACTGTAGCCTCAGTTTCCTGTTGTTAGCTGACAGGAGTGGCACCTGGTGTGGTCTTCTGCTGCTGTAGCCCATCTGCTTCAAGGTTGGACGTGTTGTTGGTTCAGAGATGGTCTCCTGCAGACCTTGGTTGTAACCAGTAGTTATCTGAGTTACCGTTGCTTTTCTATCATCTTGAACCAGTCTGGCCATTTTCCTCTGACCTCTGGCATCAACAAGGCATTTTCACCCAGAGAACTGCTGCTCACTGGATATGTTCTCTTTGTGGGACCATCCTCTGTAAACCCTAGAGATGGTTGTGTGTGAAAATCCCAGTAGATCAGCAGTTTCTGAAATACTAGCTCCAACAACCATGCCACGTTCAAAGTCACTTAAATCACCTTTCTTCCTCATTCTGATGCTCGGTTTGAACTTCAGCAGGTCGTCTTGACCATGTCTACATGCCTAAATGCATTGAGTTGCTGCCACGTGATTGGCTGATTAGCTAATTGCGTTAACGAGCAGTTGCACAGGTGTACCTAATAAGGTGGCCAGTGTATGTAGTTCATGGAAACCTGAGGGCAGCAACAAAATGCAAACTGAGGTAGGAGCAGGACATAGAAAGATGTCTCCCCCTCCTCCACCCTTCTGTTTTTGGCTGTTGTGCTTCACTATCTCATTTTTATCAAAGTTCAAGTTTGCTTTTGTTGCAAAAGAGCTTGTCTTCTCACAAGGTCCACGAACTGGAAATGTCCAGGAGCTCTCAGTCACACCTCTTGGAACAATTTCAGTATTTAGACTTTGTGCTAAAAACCTGCCCTCAAACTACAATTCTCAATTCAAAATGAGACCATTTTTCATTTTTGTTTGATCTCTATCATAATAACATGATGGTGCTTTTTCAAATTTGTTACTCAGACAATTTAAAGTTAATATTAATATTGATTCAGTTTTTGTTTACAGTTTAAAATATTTGCAGTTCTCTGTGTGGTCACGGCAGGTTTTGCAGGATCAATGTCTGTCCTTGACAAATCACTCTGTTTGCAAGTGAAAGCCAGATAAAGATTTCAGGGTTAATGATACACTGGATTTGATTTAGATTACACAACAATCGCAATAAAACCAAAGCAGGCGACCCACAGAGCACATCTGAGGAATCCAAACTCCAGTGGGACAATTTACCAGGTGGGCTATGTTTAAGTTTTTTGACATGTGCATGATTACAGTGTTCACCACTAAATGTCTCATTTGATTTCTGACTCTTTTCCACCTTTGCTTTATTCACACAGAGATCAGTGGACAGACACGTGAGAACATGAAGACTGTGATTCTTGCTCTTGTGGTGTTGCTGGTTGTCAGCCAGGGTGAGTTCATGTACAGGAAACACTACAAACCTGCAGCTGATTAATAACACCTGTACATTCATTTTCTGTTTCCTGTGTTTTTTGTGAGCAGATTTTAGAGCTAAAGGACAATCATGTGGCTGTGAAAATGCAGCACTAGCTTGTATACAACTGCTGAACATGAATTTTATTTTCTTTGTCCAGGTGAAGCCTTGGAGTGTTGGTGTGGAGGTGCAAAGTTATGTTCAGGGCGTACAGAGACCTGCCGCGGTTCAAACGATGTCTGTGCCAGTGTCCGCTATGAAAACTATCGTAAGTATTAGCTGTCTGTGGTTCTGATCAGAGGCTGGTCTGCAGGATGGGTGGGAGGGACAACCTTCAGTCCAGCAGTAGGGGCAACAGTATTTTTGCTTTACTTCACCAGGAGGTGAGTGGGCAGCAGCTCACAGGCTGCAGCTGTAGTAACTTGAATTTAGCAGGCACAAACCCCAGAGGCTCCGTTTCAAGACCGCCGTCGGATCAGCAAACATTCTGTTGCTGCTGTTACACAGGTTGGACTCAGTGCTGCCCCGGCCCACGTTAGCTCCTGGTTGTGTGTGTCCGTGCATGTGTTTGCGCACAGGCTTACCTTCATTTTTATTCTATTTTATTCATTTATTTCCTCAGTCTTCATTCTATGGAGTTTTAGTCATCTTTATTGTTAGTTGTTCTGTTTTGGTTGGTTTTCTTTTTTAACATTTCATTGTTTTGTGTCGGTGTCATTACAGTTTTGCCATGTGAAGCACTTTGGGCTGCATGTTTGTATGAAAGGTGCTCTATAAATAAAGTTGAGTTGAGTTAATACATCCCGTCCTCTTCCATGTTTTTTTTTTTTTTGCAGCTCGCAACAACTTCCATGGTTGCTATCAGAGAGACAATTGCCAGAAGCTGAATCGTCAGGGTTTAGTATCTTGTGGATGCTGCAATACTGACCGATGCCAGGCAGCGCTATCTAGTTGTTAAATGAAGTGAATGACTGAATGTCATACAATGTGTGTTGTTGCATTGTCATAATAAAGATCAGTCAGTTGCAACTTTTGTCCATCTTCACTTTTTATTTATCAGTTTTTCAAAACAACATGAATCTAATAGCTGGTGTGCTGTTTCTTACAATTTTTGCATTGAATCGAAAACTTTCATTAAAAAAATTTTTTAATATTTTTTGTGTGTTTTTCAACTAATTTACAGTGTAAAATGTAGACCTTTACCATGTTGGTTTTACAAACAAATGGCCTACATTGTAAAAAGTGTCCAAACAGTAAAGGTGCTGCATATCCCTGATACACCCACACACAGGTGCTTCTAATCATTTGGCTAATTAGACCTTATTCAGGGCTCTGTGGACGTGAACAGACTCTCCCTGACTCTGCTGTTAGCTCTGTTACACCTGTTAGCGCGGACAAATCATGCCTTCATCATCCTTTTTTAATTTTTCTATAAACATTTTCACCTGTTCAACAACAATAAAACAATTCCATGTTTCCACTGCTCCCAGCTACTTCAAGGGCTGCATGAAATCAACCGACTGCATGCATGAATGCAGATGAGTTTATTTGTCTTACATCTAATTTTTCCTCTTCTATATTCAGTGATTTTGTGTACAGCTCAAACTGACCAAATACAGAATAAATGTTGAGCTAAATATTACATAATTAACATGGCACCAATTTTAAACAGTGACTTAATCAGTCAGTCAGATGGAGCTAATACATGATGCAGTGTTCTAACACTGACAGAAGTTTATTCTAAGACAAGACAACATGACGTTTTTAAGGCTGACTGTGTTTAATACACAGATCTGAGAAATGTAAAATACAGCAACACTAAACTCCAACAACAGGAATATAAAAGGTGGATTAGTCAAGCTAATATTAAAAGTGCAATTAAGTGTAGTGAGTTCAGTTAAAAAGTGCATGAATAAGTGCAATTACACATTGTTCTATGTTGTGCTCCCAAGACAGGGGAGGGAGAGGGAAGTTGATCTTTAGCTGACACAAATCTCTGGCAAAGAGCTCTCTGATTTTGACAACAACAGAAAATCTTATCACAAGGTCCACTTACTGGAAATGTTCAGGAGCTCTTGGCCACACCTCCTGGGAACTTTCCAGTGAGTAAACTTTGTGTTGCTAAAAAAAAAA